GAAACAAACTTAACTTCACGATGGAGATTATTTTTTTTAACATCACTTTTCCTTGCATGACTGAAGTATGCTACGTATGTTATGAACGTATTACTTGATATTGAAATAAAAACTCTTTTGCAAGCCGTTACGTAATGGATACGTTTCACGTGTTTGCAATAATATAATGAAAGGGTGTTACTGTAAAGGGGAGTTATTGTAGGAGAACATGTATTCTTGCGTTTTTCCGTTTCACGTGGGATATACGTAAATAAAATTATCATGACGTGATAATATGATGTATGTGAAAAACAGATAGCTTGCGTGTTTGAATTCAATAAGGGGTTACGTTCTTTGCCTATAAAAGCTTTAAAAAAAAAAATGCATTTCCAGTAAGATTTCTGTATAATTTTCTAAAAAATGTTATGTATTTAGGATGTTTAGATATTATTAATATCAGTAATTAAGAGATTGAGTAAAAAAGAAGATATCTCTATGAGATATTCCGGATATATTACATACTATGTACTTACACCGTACATATTGCAGAGAAACTATACATTATTTTAATCTGTTTATTATTCTATATAACACATAGTTTTGTATTGCTATAAAAATTTAAGTAAAACAGTTTTAACTTATAGACTTTCAACGCGCAGTAGCCCTCTTCATGCTACATAATAATTTTATAGATGTATATCCTGCCTGCGATAGGAAGTAAGTGTGCAGGAAGTAACATATGTTTCACTGAAATGATACCCTATGTTGGAAGTAAGAATTTTACGCTCTCAAAACCTTTGTATATAATTTTGAGAAAAGGGAAGATTTGATGTTTCATATTAAGGAAATAGATGGAGTGGTGCAATATTGGTTATAGGTAGGTATAACAAATCCATTATGGGGATAATATTGCGTTTCTTTAACTCCATGTTGGAGTTTAAAATTATTGTATAAGTCAGTATTAGGAAAAATTTCCAAGAAAATCCGATAAAAAGAGATCGGACAATGAACCAGGGAGATTCCGTTTGCTAACAAAAACGATTGCTTACAATTTCGTTTATACATAGTCGTGTTGTAGACATGCGACTGTGTCATGTATATGCTCGGATTGTGTACATGATACATCTATTTTGCATGCATGCACATTGTAATAAAGAACATTTATAATTGTGCGGTATTTACATACAGGATTTTCAATTTTCCACTTGAAGTGCAAATGTTTCAAAGTTCTACATGTGTTAGTGAGATCTGACATCCATTTCACATCGTTCGGTGCATGATGTGCAAAACAAGGTCCATTGTACAATTCGATATGGGCTTTTAACTTTCCACACACGAAGAAAAGTTTTACAATGTGTACGTAGCATGGAAGTGTGTGCAATGTTCTGTGCGCAATACGCAGTCTTGTGTGCAATGTGTTGTGTACATTACGGTCATATATATAATGCGTTATATATATGATATAATGCATTATATATATATAATGCGTTATGTGCCCCTGTGCAGGAGGGGGGGGAGGTGAAAGTTACTTTACAAATAAAGGAGGGGGATGAGAGTTGCTTCGCGTAGAAGATTTAACACATTTACATAGGGGGAGGGGGTGCAGAATAGTACTTAATATCGTACATGTATAGCAGAAATAGTACGTTATTTTTAAATCTTTTTTGGTTAATAACTTTTCAACGAATAACGAGCGACGGGAATGGTCAATGACCTTGACCTTCTTGAGGGTCAAGGTCACTCGGAAGTCATTTGAGGCTGACTGTGTAAATCGAAACATTTATCGAAAAAACTGATAATGTCCCATTAAAAATCCTGTTATAATTAACCATCTCTTGTAAAAGATTATTAATTTGTTCTTATAGGTAGGTAAGGTATTAAACTTATGAAAAAATTTTTTTGTATATTTCGCAATGTTCAAGTTTTACTTGTTTTAAAGTTTATAAATAATAAATTTATACATGAAATTTATTCTTAAAAAGTTGTTCTTAATATTGTAATTACACCATATTTTTGCTGGGATAGTTATTATAAATGTGAATTTTGTCAATGTTTCCATATTGGCCCCCCAAGTGGGTAATGTAAGTCTCAAGATTTTTAACAAAAAGCATTGTAGATTATTGTTTTTTGTAAAAATTTTTATAATTACTATATTAAAATGATTTTAAGAAATTTCTAGAAGTACCTGCGAAGCAGGGAAAGAGTGCTCGTGAAAAACATTCACGAGGACAATATCAACACAAGAGTATTATTAGGAAAATGTAATTCATTCAAAATAAGCTTTTGTGAATTTTTCACAATATTTCAATACATTTAGAATTTTCTATGAATTCGAGCTATTTGTAAATTTTTCGTGTTTTCACAGAGTCATTAGTTACTCATCAAAATTAATAAAATAATTATTTTAACGAGAACAACTGCGTGTATTTATGACAGCTGTTTTACCAATTAATTTATTAATGGATAAAGCTATTAAGAATGTGTTAAGAAAGATGTTCTCAGTGCTATTTGTATTATTTATCTTTATTTTACGTCTATAGAGATAGAGAAACACAAATTATATGGCGCTGATAGCGTCTTCCTAAATACATCTTAAGTTTATACAATTAGTTATATACGTGGATCAATTATAAATGAGAATTTTGTTCTGAAGTCTAGACAAGGTAAAGTAGGACAATGCAACGTTGAGGATGCTTTGGTGGAGATGTTAGGAGGAGATTTCTAGCCTAAGAAAAGATTTCTCGGGTCGTTACGGCAGTCTGCAACAAGATGAGCGGGAAAGAGGTTCATTCGTCCGTTGCGCAACGGATCATAATTAAATTTTTCTCCGTAGATTACGCCAACAATTCAGGGAATCAACTCTCTCACAGCCCCGTGTGTTCTTTTGGCACAAGACTTTCTCTAGAGGACGAGAGAGAATCGAAATTGAGAGTCACGATCGCCGTCCCAGAATGAATCTAATGGAAGACAATATTCGTGCGGTTTGGAGATCGAATGACGCATTACGATTGCCGAAATTGCTACTCATCTTGGAAACAGTTATGGTATTATTCAAAAAATCATTTCAGATGAGCTGGGATACAGAAAAGTGTCAGCTTGTTGGATCTTGCGTTTTCTCACGGAGCAACACAAAAATATTTGCGTCAAACGCGTTAAAAATTGGAGCAAATTTCATGAGTTGCACTTGAACACCCTTCTTACAGTCCATATGACTTTTACATGTTTGGATCCCTGAAAGAAGCGTTGGAAGGGCAGCGTTTTGCAGACGCAGGAATGGAAGCCTTTGTGCGCAATTGGCTTACAACACATCCAACTTCCTTTTATAATGATGGCATAAAGAAACTTCTAGTCAGATAGAGAAAATGCGTTTCCAAAGCAAGAGATTACGTAGAAAAATAAAAAAAATATTTTGCATTTTTATTTCATATAAAAAAAATTTTAAAAGAAATTCTCGTTTATATTTGATCCACCCTCGTATTTATGTTATTTTTATTTTTTATCATAATAGTACCTAATTAAATCAGTTTAATTGATCTCTTGACGTTTAATAATTTTCTAAAACAAAAGTCACAATATAACAAGATACAGAAATTAATTTACTTATATTTTTATACATACATTATCTTAATATAAAATGTTAATGTTAATACTCAATAATAGTTATATTGTTGTATTCTCTAAAGTATAAATAAATAAATTTTATAGTGCACAAAATGTGTAACATAGATAAATATTACAGATACTGTCTTTAAAGATTGTAACTGTTACTAATATTTACAATTTAAAAAGAGTTCGTCTTTCTATACATCTTGAAATTTTAATATCCATAAAACTGAATTAAGAACTGGAATTTGCCAGAATAAATTAAAATTATGCAAGTTATATTTAATAATAAATTTGCGGAATTGTTATATACGTATTAATATATATACTTTTTATTTTTTTAATTCGCTGTTTTTCCGTATGTATAGACAAAGATATATGTTCCTTTTCAGCAAACTTTTTTTTTCTTGAAGTTATGTGTCCTCAGAAAGAATTATACGAAACGTTGTTAAGTAAGAAAATGCCGTTGAAACGTACTGAAAAATCAATGAACATGTAAAACTTGTAAAAATAATTGTTGTAAAAATAAATAATACTATTAATGTATTGTATTATTGCTATGTATATACATAGTTGTAATTGATGGTACAATTGGAAAAGAACAAGTTTTTTATTTTTTATATTTTTATTTTATGTTTTTGCACAGAAAATACTTTTTTTTATTGTACCATAAATTACGTTATATTTTGTATGATTATAGAGATTAATACTGCAAGGCGTTCTCATACAGAAGCATAATGTTGAAAGGTTAAAGCCTTTAATAAACCCGGAACAGATATAACTACAGCTCGTTGACATCGTAGCAAAGTATATAACATAATCTTACGCGATTTGATGTTTTGGTTATACCATAATGAATTATAGGCTGCCTCAGCAATGTTAGAACTCTGAAATGTAAATAAAAATAGTATATTATTACTTATTATAATATTCAATTTTAGGTTTTTTTTTCCAACTTCTTTCAAACGTCTTTTTTTCTTACTGTTCTCATTAGATGATCAGCCGGCCAAGCGCATAGAAATACTTTTACTAATGATGTAGAACATACAATTATATACTGAATTTTTACAGACGGCGGAAATCGCTATTTAACAAACATTTTGAATTGAGAAATGCAAAACAGAAATTATTTAATAGTGTTGTATAATGTATTAAAGACTGTATTACGATAAACGGCAAATATACACACGCTGAGGAACGTAACGCCGCCAAATATTAGAGCTATAGTACTAACGCCGAGTGATGATAACACTACGAGTGCGATAGAACTACTCATTTCTTTTGCATATCTGTCAGAATTTAATTATAATTTTGAATCATAATAGAGAAGAATTTTATGATTAATTTATATAAGAGATAAACATTGTTTTAAAAAAATGTGATAATTTTATTTGGTTCTAATGCTAATTTGTACTTTTTTAATACCTTAGAGTTACTTGATGCTCTCGTATACATGTTTTCCAGTCAGAATATTTGGTGATTGTGCGGAATTTGTTTGTCAAGATCTCAAAGCGAGCCGTTGTGAACCATATTAAAAGAGCGAGGAAAACATTTGCACTCACTTGACAAGAAACCTGATACATACCGAGTGCTTGATGAAAATAGAGTATTGCTGTTATTGGTTGATAATCAACACGAAATGGATATTCTATTTCTAGCGGAAACCTGCGAGACCGAATTAATGGCACCATGAGCGAACCAGCTAAGGATGCAGCAGTTAATGTTAACGTAGTTCCATAAAACAAAATATATTTGTTAATATATTGTTGAAATACATCTTTTTCTTCAGCGTTTGCTTGCTTGTAATAATCTTCCATTTCGCAAATTACGTTCTGTAAATTTGTTAAGATTTAATTTAATTATTACAACTTCGATATGACATTGCTACAAAAATGTTTATTTGATATTATAAAGGCAGATCACAAATACGAAAAAAGAAAATTACTTATATTTGATATCTAATATAATTGATAACATTTTAAAGTACTAATTAATTTTGTTTTTCTTTCTTATTATTTTTAAAATTTACTGTCAACGAAGTTAATTTGATGTATTATAGTTTACTGAAATTGTATCCGTTAAAGGAAATATGATATTACGGTTTCTATTCTCGTATGTTATTTTATTAAAAATACAAGTTTTTAATTTAACAATAAAATCTAATAATAAGTAATAATATTATATAATATATTAATTTTACGATGTTACACACAAAGAAATTTAAGAACATTTAATGTTAAATTTAATATTAAATTTAACTATGTATAACAGTTTTTTTCAGGAAAAACCATTTAGGTTGACCATGTTTTTATTTTCTAATTTCTGACTTTTCTTTTTTGCAAAAAACTATATGTTTCTAAACTTTAGAAATTTTATAAATCTACTACATAGTAAAATATAAAGAAGATCTTTTTATAAAGGCAATTATGTATAATAATTTGTTTAGAATAATTTTAGTATTACAAAAAACTACATATTGAGATCTGTATATATTAGAAGTTTTGAATAATTAATTGAATAAAGTTTTATACTGCAATTATATATATATATATATATATAAGAAAATATTGTAGTTTTAAAACACACATGCACAGAGCACATAAATTAAAACAAAACATTATATCTATTTCATAAAGAAAGATAAAAATACAAAAGTAATGAGACACATGCCAGATATATGTATATATGAAACAGAACTCATGTAGAAAAATTTTATATTCAAATATAGGTTTATGGGTCGATAAAATAATGTGTTTCATGTGTCATTTGTTACATTATTAGTTAATATATAATACAAAAATAATTAACTTTTTTCTTACTTGCAGACGATCGTGCTGTTTCGTAAATAAAAATATTTGCAATGGAACTTCACAAAAGATGCCCAACGCACAAGCTAATTGCATAAGTAACAAAACATTGTCTAAATGATTACTAATTGAATATATTATCTCAACAATTATAAATGCACCGTTCACCATGGATAGATACCGAAATATTCTATCACGAATAATTTGCAACTTTGTAGCTGTTCGCGATAGAGGCCAACAACAAGCGAATAATAAATCTATCTTCAAAAAAGCAATAACTCTGTCTAAAGTCGGTGCGATTTTCATGTTATATGAAAAGCAGTCGTACTTCTTCATACAAGAATATTTCGACTGTTAATATTTCTGCGCTTTTCTCGCAATTGTATGAAGAACACTTTATGCAACTAGGGTAGAAACTTGTGTAGGCAATGCGAGATTATGCACATCGGCAACGCGAAATATCTCAGGCAGAATATTACGTTTATTATTTCTTCTGTTCGTTTTCCTCTCTCCTTTGAGTTTATGTGCAATCTTGCGGATTAATAAATTATACGATTGGTATGTATTTCACCTCCACGTAGTTCCATAGCACTTACATTTCTACCCTGAATTATTATAGAACTACACACTATGTCTTTATGTAATCTGCGTAATTGTTGAGTGTTGAAAGAGATAACTACAATATGAATTTCAATCTTTTAGAAAGTGTGAGAGATAGAGAGTATTATTGTTTATAAATGGAAAAACGCACAATGCTTGTGAGAGAGAGAGAGAGACATACGTAATGCATTGACATTATATTTATAGATTGCATTACGTAATTAAAAATTATGAGGAATTAATATAATTACTTTTAATGAATACAAGAGGCAAAACGTGTTTTTATGACAATTGTTATGCTAGACAATTATTTTATTAACGGATTTTGTCCATATCAGATTTACTTCACATCGCATTTAGGTACTTACGGTGTTCACTATTATTAAAAATATTTTTATTGAGATTATAAGAAGTTCTTTTTCTTTTTAATTTTTTTATTATAAATTTATATTACATTATATAAATAGGTATATTATAAATGTCGTAAGCTATTACACGCTACTAATTAATCGTATAAGTAAATAAAATATTTGGAAGTGTTCCAAATCTAATGTAGTATCGTTTCTAATGGTATAAAATACGAGAGTGTAACGTAAAAGACTTATAAGTACTTATAAAATAATAATTTATAAGAGATAAATATATATTAATAAATATAACAATATCCTTACAATTTTGTAAAATCTTAAAGAAATTGTAGGAAGGTCCCGTTTGCCTACTTCGTTTGAACACATAATATTGCACATAGTGCATTACACACATAATTATACTGTCCACAGCACATTGTCCACAGCAAGACTTAATTTTTTTTATACATAGCTTTGCAGCGATTCGGAATGTCAGAGGTACTGTACAACGTGAAGCAAGGTCTGTTTTATGTAGTAAAAAAAAAGTCATTAGTTTTCAAACTTTTTTGTTAATAACTTTTTAATGAATAACGAACGGAAAAGGAAAAAGTCAATGACCTTGAAAAATGGCGAGCAATTTGCGCTACTCTTGTAAATTTAGAGCTGTATCGAAATCTGTATTGAATTATATTAAGAATTTTATAATAAATAAATTTTGTTATCGCACTATTTACCGCGATTATATCTCATCAGCTCGTTGCTTGTTTTTGTTTTTATATTAGAATATTTTGTAGTAATATTCTATTTATATACGCGTTTATAAATTATATAAATTATTCATAAATATTGAGTAATGTAATGAGGAACAAAAAGAGACACTAAAATACTGTTTATTATTAATTTTTAATTTTGTGCAAATGTTACAGATACAGATGCAGATAGTAGCGTAGAGCAGAGTTTTGTCGTTTATTTTTCGCGATGATATTTATATTTTTGAACAGCATATATTAAATTTTTAAAGATTGTGCTTGTGCTCTCAAGGTGGAATTATGATTAAATAATGTAAGCTATTAGCATGTTACTGCAAAGAGATATTGTTTATCGTCGTGAATTTGCACATTACTTTAAAGTTGAAATTAACCCTTATCCTATAATTTAAATTATTTATAGTTTTGATCAATTTTCTTTACATTAGAAAAGTATAATACATACAGTAGATTATATATGCACCTCATCTCCCTTAGCAAGCATTGCTCGAAATGTTGTCAAATAGGAAAACGTAGCTGATAAATACTGTTACATGTAAATATACAATATAATTTTATTATTTTAAGTACCATAGTATATATGTATATATAATATATTATAAAGTTTTTTTAATGTAAATTATTATAAACCCACACGAACATTTTTAATTATCAAATAATGTTTTAATCTATTATATTATTTACTTTAAGCTTATATATTATATTTAAGTGAAAAAATATTATGTTTAACAAAAAAATAATAAAGAAGGCTTTTAAAGAATATCATTTTTTGCCTTCAACTAAAATTAAGAAACCTTGAAAAATCATTGTTTGGTTTTTATGAATGACAGGAAATAATGATGACAAAAGCCATGTATTATATGTACGATTAATAATTGGAAAATTATTTTTCTATCTAGAATTGTGCATAAATCGCCGACTACTTCATATTTAGGGGCGGAAAACGACATTTCTTTAACACTCTTCTTGAGTTATTATGACTAAGGTTATTGAACTTTAATTAAACCACTGAAAATAAAATTCCTCTAAATATTTTAATTTAAGATATAACTTACAGAGGCATAATAATTAAGTGAAAGAGTCGGTAGCATACATGGCACTGTTAGAGTTACAGGTTGTTGACTTCTCGACACAGTATATAACAAATTCTTCTGTAAAGATATATTTTTACTGTACCATGACGATTTATATCCAGCATGGCCAATGTCATTGCTCTAAAACATTAAAATAATGAAAACATTATAAGAAAATGTTTACCCAGAATAAAGACACAGTCATTAATATAATGTATAATATATATTTTCTACAAGATAGAAATGTGATTATAAATCACATCAGTTATATTAAAAGAAATTGTTACATCTATATATTTATTCCAAAATTTATACATACTTTATATTTGTATACTTTTAATTTATTGCAATTTTTAGTCTGTATTATTTTTTTATAAACTGTTTTATGCCTTTTTCCTTATGTTTTATTTAGTTGCTATATCTTACCGTGCGTAATAAATAATCAGCTGGCCATGCGCACATAAAGACTTGTATAAGTGCAGATGTGGCAATGACAAAAAATGAGGTTTGTATAGCTATTGGTTGTCGCTGTGCAAATAATATTTTAATGTAAATAATACAAAATTTAGATTATATTTGTGACAGAAAGAAAAAATGAGTCATTGTTTACAATTCTATATTAATAAAATAATTTTTAGTTTTTTAAAGTAAATTATGTAATGCCTAGATCATATCTATTTATATAAATTTTACAATACAAATTATATAAATATTAGCTATGTTTGTATGAGGGGGCTTTTTTTGTCTTTAAATTGATTGAATACAGCAGTGTTTACCTACAAAGCAGAAAATTTGTGTTCTAAAACAGAATTTGTCATTTTAAAACTGAATAGTACCTGTAAGCCGTAGGCAATAATGTAGGCAAATGTGACTTCGTTTCTGAAATTTGTATTTGTGTGCAAAAATGCATGTAGACAATTGAGTTATAGGCAAGGAGACATAAGGGTTCTCCCTGTTTGTATAATTTAAAGTTTACATGCTACTATTCTCTTTACTTACGATATTTACGTAAACAAATTTAATATTATGTAATAAATTATGTAATATGCAATAAAACAACGATACAGTAATGACTCACGCTTAAAAAAGTAAGACCGCTAAATACCACTACTATGGTACTGATCCCTATCGTTGACAATGCTATATATCGAACTGCCACAATAACATCTTTTGCATATCTATAATTAGTTGTTTATTACTACCAGTTTTTAATTAATTTTACTATTATATACACTATATATATGGTATATATATAAAACATAATTATAATTAATTTTATTATATAATATACATATAATAAAATTAATTATAATTATGTTTTAGTATTTAGTTTATATCTAAAAAGTAAGATTAATACACAAGTTTAAAAATGTTTCGATCGTATAATATGAGCTAAAAGTATCAGTCAAAAAATCAGTTGAAAAAACTAATGTTCTTAAGTGAAAATTAGTCGAGAGATGTCCAGTGCAATCAAGCGAAGAAGGTTATATTTGGTCAAGGAGAATATTGATGTATAATATAATTGATATTAGTAATATTAAATTACTTATTAATTTAATTTTTATATTCTTGTAGTTTGCCTAAACTGGAAATTGTAAAATTCACATAAAGAAAATATTAGACACCAAGACTTAAATATATAGTCTTCATAGCTTACTTGTGTTGAGTATACAAGTATATAATTATTTTTAAAGACGCGATTATACGGTAATGCATTACATAATTTACATATTACCGTAATAGTCGTTGATGTAGCTGTACACAGATTATAAACTCTGAGGTGTCCGTAATTTTTTGAAATTTGTGGGACAAAATCTTGAATCTTGCTGCTATGAACCAAAGCAGAAGAGCTACGAAGATGTTGCTACATGCTTGCACACGACTTTGGTACACAACTAACACATGATGCAAGTAAATAATAGTTCTTAGTGGTTGTTTGTTTATATCAAATGGATACTCAACGTCGATTGGAAAGGGTTGAGCCAACACTAATGGTCTGATCCATGTTGATGCAGCTGCCGCGGCTGTCAAACATAGTGTTATACAGTAAAATAATTTACATTTGTTGATATATTGCTGAAATATATTCCTCTCTTCTGATTTTGCTTGCTGAATATAATTTTCCATTTCGTATATTATGATCTGCATAAATATATTATGTAATCTTTTATTAATAACGGAGTCAGTAAAAGGAATTATTTATACATCAGCTAAATGTATTTATCAAAATGGCAATATTTCCGAAATATATTTTTAATTGTAACTTTTTAAGATTATGACAAATTAAATTTTGCATAAATATAAGTATAATATAATAGTTCAATTTGAACTGTTTTGTATATGACACACTGTATAAAATGTTATAGTATTAAATGTATATTACTGATTGTATACAGAGTATTCCTACCTAAAAGATATCTTGACTGAAAGATATCTTAAAATTATTATCATATGCATTGATTTTATCCGTTTGTTCGGTAATTTTTAGAAATTAATATTCCGTTAACTATTACAAAAATTGCTAAATGACGGAGGACTTTTCGACTCAATTTTTTTAATCAGAAATAGCACTATATGATTGTTGGTCGTTATTTAAGAAACAGCCAGTTCATATATGTATGTATATACATATGTTTATATATTCAATTTTGATATTAAATTTTAAATGCTAGTAATATTAAAAATCTTTATCATAAAAGATTGAAATAAAAAAAAATCTTATTTTAACAAAATTTTTAATTCTTTATGAACTGTCATAATTACAATTGAAAAATTTGTAAGCTATATCCCATTTAGATCTTTCCATTCCTTATTAATTTCAATTTTTCTAGATTTATATGTCTTTTTAATATCTATGATACAAATAAATTGAAGTTACGATAAATTCAAAAGCACTTTGCATTTCTTACTTGCAAACGGTCACTTTGAAGCGTGAACAATGTAATTTGTATTGGAACTTGCAAAAAGGCACTCATCCCACAGACCACTTTTATCACAAGAACCGTATTATCATAATTCTTGTTTAATGTATATATTAATGATATTATCATTATGATGCAATTTAAGCAGCATAACAGTCGAAATATTTTGTCACGAATTTTTTTAAATTTTGTAGCCCTCATCGGAAGTGGCCAACAACATGCAAACGTCAGATCGACTTTTAAGAAGGCAATAATCTTTTCTAGCGTCAATGTTTCTGTCATAATAATAATAATAATAATCTTGTAGAGAGTATTAGAGATAGAAAATAACGCACTTTATTACGATTCGTACTCGACTAAAGTGTTATAAATAACCCTTCTCAAGAAAATTCGAGGGGAAGAAACTTGCGCGATATTAAACACTTAAATTACACCTACGGTACATTCATTTATATTTTAAAGCAAAATGTACTTTTCTCCGGCAAAGCGATGTGAGAGGAACTATAATGTGGCAGAAATTATGTGAGAGGAAAGAAAATAATAATGTACAAGAGGGACGTATACATTGCTATTTGTTAAACGTAGGTCAGTATGATTATTTTTTCTGAATTATTATACTGATTAAAATATTGAAATAATTATATAACGTGTATAACGTATAATTGTATGTGTTATATAAGTGACATAGAAAATTTAGAAGCAATGCGCGTAAGACTAATAATGTAAATCTTGGTAATTATACAGATTAGGAGACACTGCGCCGATGATCTTGACCGTAACATATGTTGTCAAAGTCATAACCCCGAGTGGCCTTCAAAAGGTTTAAGTTGGCGATCACTGTTTATTAAAAAGTTATGAACAAAGAACTTTCAAAATATGAGTATTTCAGTAACTGTTTTTTAAAAAATTACGAGTAAGAAAAATTTAATATAATTTGCACTGACTTAAGACAATCTCGAAATAAGAATGATTAATGAATATTAACTGAAATGTTAACATCGATGTTGAAGGAATGATTCGATGATAGTATTTTTCATAGATATTTTGTTTGGTTGAAAAGCGAAACATGTAGTTTACGCTTTAGTTACAAGTTACAATTGTACTGTATGAACAGTACTGTGGAGTTTGCGTAAAACATCTCGTATTTATATACGTACCGTTGGTAAAAGTCTTTCTCATATGCTTTCTGTTTACTCGAAAATATGCTCCATTTCACTAAAAGGTAAGAAAATAAGTATGAACAACTTATAAAGTTTTTAACTAATTATATACATTATTATATGAAATTTTAGCGAGATTTTTGAATTTATTGTGTCATACTATGCCATGTGAGATTTGGTTATAATCGGTGTAACAAAAATCAAATACTCAAATTCAATTTGATTTTTTAGCTGATAATACGTAGTTTATACCTGTGCGCTATGAATAAATGAATAAAGTCGATAATATTGAATTACATATATAGGTTTCCAAAGATAATGTAATTTTTGTAAAGATACAATTTCCACATGAAGACACAATTGTATAAACAGAAGTGATAAAAAAAGTTATTTGTAGAATAGTATATAGTATTGATTAATAATATTAAAAAACAAATATATATATATATGTATATTTTACATATTAACGTTAACATTCTTCTAGAATTGAAAATAGATTGAGAATGTTTTATCAAAAGTCGGTCTAATATCGCTATAGATATGCATTTCTTACTTGCAATCGGTCATATTGCAGTGCGCATAGTGTTATCTCCAGAGGGATTTGTATGTGAAGGCACTCAGCAAACGTCATAGTTTTGTTATCTTTCGTAAGATGTAGCATTATAAAGAGAAGGGTACGTATTGCAGGTATACTTATTATAATATTGTTACATTTATATGTTACAAAACAAAGAGCATAAAGGCCATTACAGGTACAAAAATTTTAATAGTAATCGTAAGGTCGTAAACAAATTGGCCAATCACAATCGAGCGTTTTAAAATGTAAGATTGTAGTTTTGATTGTGATTGGTCGGTTTGCTTGAGACCTCACGATTACGACTAAAATTTTTATACGTATAATGGCCTTACCATTTTGAAGAGCATTATCTATATTTAGTAGCATTCTTTGACAGTGGCACGATAAGAAGTTTTCTTCCTTATTTAATTCACAATATTCTGATCTGGATTTAGAGTTACAACAGAAGTAAGAACTGATGTATTTTTAAGTTTATAAGTGTAATTGTAAGTTAATAAATTAATTTTTTAATTTTGTATTTAATTGTTTCTTTTTGTATAATGGAACAAAATGATAAGAAAAGACTAAAAGGTAAGAAAATAAGTATGAACAACTTATAAAGTTTTTAACTAATTATATACATTATTATATGAAATTTTAGCGAGATTTTTGAATTTATTGTGTCATACTATGCCATGTGAGATTTGGTTATAATCGGTGTAACAATAAAATAAATATTAATTTTTAGCTATTTAATATAGTTGCTTGCGTATGTTCCAATTTTATCAGTAGCACATGTTTTTGCATCTCAAACATTTTGCATGGTTACTCGTAGCGTCGTAAAATAGGAAAATATAGTCGATAAATACTGGAACACATTCATATTTTTATGTACTTATTGAACTATTTTAGTTAAAATATTAGTTTAAACCGAATTATATATGTAAATTTCTTATTTATGATTTTAAATTAACAAAATACATGTAATATTTGCCATGTATTTAATTATACATATATGATATTCATTTAGACAACTTATCTCTAAAAAGTCAACTAAATAATATAATTTTTCTATGTAATATATATTATATTTATTTGTATCATACAATGAAGTGCTTTTATACATTATCATTTTCTATTCATTATATAATAATAATGAATATACTTTACTAGTGATTGCTATGCGTGTTTAATGTGACAGCATATTAAAAATTAATTTCTTACCGATGCATAGTATTTTAAAGATAATGCAGGCATAATACATGGTACTGAAATAATTATCGGTTTTTGAGCCCTTAACATAACTATCAGTATATCCTTCCTTAGATCGACTGGTTGTTGGTACCATTCTGTATCAAAGACTGCTTGTCCGATCTCATCACTCTAGAAACAATATTGGATAGTAATGTTGATTTATTGTAATTAATTAATGAAAATGTAGCAATTCTTTCTGTGATAATAAACTTACTATTTGAATCAAATGTTCTGCTGGCCACGTATACATAAACACTACTGATAATCCACTGAACATTATACCAACGCATTGGATTTTCATTGACAATGGTTGATCCTATTTATAATACACTATGAATTATTTGACGCATTATTATTATTATTTAATAATCCGTGTATCTTGTTGAGAATATTAATAAATTTTTAAAATAATTTTTGTATATATTTAGGTAAAAGAAAAATTAAACATATAAATAAATAAAATATTCGATCTATAACGTAATTTTCGGCCCCTTTATTCAATCGACTATAGCACTTATTCAAATTTGAATCTTTTTTTCGCCATATACGTTTTGAAAGTCATCTTCAATCAAGCGTTAAATAAGATATGATAAAAAAGTGTCAGTCCTACAAATCTAAGTTCAAAAAATAGTAGTGAAAACTATGTCGTTCGAAAAGCAGCATTTCAAGCACTGTCGTACAGTACAAATAGTGGTTCTAAAGATTTCATAATGGCAATTTTAATTTTTCTCATCATAGAATTCATTGACTTAAAACAACCACCTTTTTTCGAAAGCGGAATCTGACAATTGTCTGAAAGATGGTAAAAATGTGTGGAAAGTGAAGGGATCAAGTTAATTTTTGATTAGGTTAATATTCGTTTTTTTTTATAATTTAACATCGAAACTTGGAAAAAAGGCCGAGAATTAAGTATAGATCTAATATATGTATCTATTATATATATATATATATAAATAATACTCTCATATTAGAAAATATTCCTCATTTTTTAAAAATTCTATACAAATATGTTTTTTAATTAAAAAATGGTTTATATATATCTATATAGATATTAACTAAATTCATAAGTCTATTATTAGAAAAAGCAGTAACTCAGTACTCACGGTTAATAAAATGAGGCCTACTATTATTAACGCGATAGTACTGAAGCTCACAGTTGATAATGCTATAGGACGAATTAAAATTGTCACTTCTTCCGCATACCTGAAATAAAAATATAAAAATAATAACGCTAATAATTGTTAATATTATTTTCTTTTGATAAACATGTAACAAAATATTTATTCAAATGATATAGAAAAGCTTATGTGATATAAGTATTATATATAAAGAATTGCTTTACCACAAAAGTTGTACGACTATTATGATTTTTATACTTTTGATTATTATATAATAAATTATATTAAAATCTGAAAATATTAAATCTGGAAATAATTCTTTTTTGCCTCGGTAGTCTAATTGGCTAGGATACTTGCGTGTAAAGCAAGATGTCCGGATTTGACTCCCAGCCGAAGTAATATTTTTCGCAATAAGAATTATGTATTTCCAGATTTAATATTTTCAGATTTTAATATAGTTTAACATCGATATAAGATGCCAAAAAGAGCATCAATTAATTTATTAAATTGTTAATCAATTTAATTCGTACCGCGGTAGTTGATTAAAGTTGCGTTTTAAGACCGACAATCGTTCGGCGCGCAGTTTGGGGGGACTACATACATATATTAGTATATAAATTTACGCGAAATTATATATAAACATTTAAAAAGATCCAAGCTAGACTGTTATAGGCTTTGTATTCGTATTAGTTATGTTCGTACATTGACGGTCTTTAGATTTGAATATAATAAATTATAATAAAATAACGTTATTTTATTATAATTTATTTCTATTTGTAAATGTACAAATAGAAATTAAAATAGAGTCCCGAGAAGAATCCTATAATATTTCCCTGATTTAGTTGTCGGGACCCGATATACGTATTACGAGGGTTGCTATTTATGTATCCAGAATAATAAACAAATCATTTAAAACAGTTTTATTGTTTTTCAAAATATTCTCCGCGATGATCAATACATTTTTGCATACGTTTGAATCAATTTTCATTGGAATGTCATACTTTATACGTCTTTAAGGGTATAAAAATAGACATAATCCTATATTTTCATTATTTCAGAAATTTTTTTTTATTTTCTTTTTTTGAGCTTATTTTCATTCATCTTTTGCCCCAACTCATGAAATTGGACAACTTTGGCCACCTAAGGGAATCCTGCCTTTTAACCCTTTTGATATCCCCTTAATAAATACTATTATTCTTATTTTTTCTGGTTTATCTACCTTAAAGATTTTTTTTAATAAAATAATCCTGCCTTAAATAAAAACAGTGACTTACTTTAATAGATTTTGATGTTCTTGTATACATTTCTTTAAGTCAGAAATGTTTGTAATTCTTTGTAGTTTTTCGATAAGTATTTCAAGCCTTGCTGACGTAAACCATATTAAGAGCGCCATAAAAATATTCATACATAGTTGGGCAGCACCTTGCACGCAAGCTATAATCTGCTGTATGAAGATAATAGATCTTAGAGGTTGATGATAAATATTGAACGGATATTCCGCGTTTGTTGGAAACGGTTGATCTAGCGTAATAGGTCCAGATATAATGAAAATGGCACTTAGATAAATCCAAAACATAGAACCACCATAGAAATAGACGCATTTATCGATATACCGTTGAAAGATTGCTTCTTCGCGAGGTTTAAGTAACTCACAGAAATTTTCCATTTCGAAAGTAACCAACTGGAATCGATTATGTATATAAATATATAAATTTTTACAAAGAGGAAGTGCATACAATGATAAATTTTGTTTCTTTTTTTTTTACATAAAAACTGAATGTACTCATTATAATTACTTGTAAACGACAAGAATTAATTCTACAGCACATAATATTGCAAACGACTTGTAAAGCGGGACACAGAACACTTATCGATTTTGCAATAACGACAGGATCATTAAAATGATTATGCATCGCATTTATCAAACCTACAGCCACGCTAGAAAGTACAATTACGCAAAAATATTGATATATTCCTGCACAGATAACTTTCAATTTAATTGTATCTTTTGGTAGAGGCCAACACCAAGTTGGGAACAAACTTAGTTTTACGATAGCGATGACTTTCTTTAACGTCAACTTTGACCACATGATTAGAATGTTAATTGCACATATTCTCGTATTGTAATATATATAATAAATATCTATCTTAAAATGTTTCAACGATAAGAAGATATATAATAAAGAAAATTTTATATGTAGCACATATGGTTATGTCTGCTCTCATTGCTTCTGTTTCACGTAAAATATACCTCTACTATAAAATTGTGATAAAATGAACAATAGAGATGCGTATGTGTATGTGCAGTGTGAAAAGTATGGTTTGTAGATTTATATTTTCTACTAATATCTATTTTTAACACAAATTACAAAAGTAGCATACGTAGGGGTATTATAAATTTACGATATAATTTGGAATTTTCTCTCTTTGTAATGTTTTCCTTGAAATCATTACCAGAGCTTTTAGAAAAGAACATTTTCCGTAATATGCCTAGGATATGATGATACAAGATTATGAAATGCGCCAGTAATTGAGGAACCGCGTTCTGCAGTAATTACTTTATAAATTATTCAACACATGTACGATGAATTTCCTGCCGCAACCTTAGTTTCATTGAAATGCTTCGAAAATAAAAACCTTTATTAAAGTACGAGTATTTACTTATTAGCAAGTTTTACCTAATATTATATTTTTATAAATACGCATATTCTGTTATATTAAAATATTAATATTTACTATATATATATATAATATTCTATTTATGCGTTTATAATTTATATGTATAAAGTATAGATATTAAATAATGTAATGAAGAACAAGAAGTGACATTAATTCTATCAATTGTAAATATTTTTTTATTAATAATTTTATTAAAATTTTTAACTTTGTATTACAGATACAGATGCAGACATAATAGAGCGGAATTTTGTTGATCTGGAGACATGCAGTAGTGTCTAAGTCAAGCGCAGCGATACTGTCATTCATTTTTCGCGATGATGTTTATATTTTTGAATAGCACATATTAAATATTTGAAGATTGTGCTTTGGCTGTCAAGGAGCAATTATGATTATATGATATAATGTAGCTGTAAGCACGTCACTGCAAAGAGATATTGTTTCCCGTCGTAAATTTGCACATAATTTTAAAGTATAAACTGACGGAATAGTTGCGCTTTAACCTATAATTTAAAATATTTATAGCTTTAGTTTATTAATTTTTTTCATATTTTATAAAAGTTTAATACATACAGTAGGTTACATTTGCAGCCCGTCTCCCTTAGTAAGCATTGCTCGAAATGTTGTCAAATAGGAAAATGTAGTTGATAAATACTGTTACATGTAAATATATAAATTATTATTTTAAGTATTAGTGTATATATATAATATATAATAATATATATATAATGTATAATAATGATTGATGTAAATTATTACAAATTCATACGAACATTTTATTGATCAAATAATGTTTTAATACTTTTAATTTATTATTATTTATTTTAAGCTTATGTATAGAAAGTGTACGATAGGTACTTTTGAGAAACTATTATGTTTAACAAAGACATAACAAAGAAAAGTGTCAATTAAAAGATGTCAATTTTCGTGTCCAATGTAAAATATACGAATCATGAAAAATTATTGTTTGGTTTTTATGAATAATAGGAAATAATAACGATTTGTCCGAAAAGAAATGGGAATAGAATTACGTAAAACCGTAAATATGTATTTTAAGTGACACCTCACCGATTTTAATGTCCTTCAGATATATTCTACGGGAGTGATTTCCTACAAGAATTAAGTGGAGGACGGCATTGGTTTAGGAGATACAATAAATTAAAGCTGGTAAAAACCTTTACATTAGGGGACACCACTTCGACCTTAACCTTGACATGTTATAGAAATGAAGGTACTGATCAACTTTTCCTTATAAATTAATCAGGGATCTGTGAAGCTAGCACGACATCTAATAATTAGACATCAATAATTGATAGTGTCGAAAATAATAATTAGAAAACCATTATTCTGGCTAGAATTGTGCATGTAAAGATTGCTGACTATTTCATATTTCAGAACGAAAATCAACATATCTTTAATACTTTGTTTATAAATTATTATGTCCAAGATTATTGAACTTTAATCCTCCTGTGAATATTTAAATTTAAGATATGACTTACAGAGGCATAATAATTAAGTGAAAGAGTCGGTAGCATACATGGTACTGTTAGAGTTACTGGATGTTGACATCTCGACACAGTATATAACAAATTCTTCTGTAAAGATACGTCTTTACTATACCATAACGATTCATATCCAGCATGGCCAATGTCATTGCTCTGAAATATTAAAATAACGAAAACATTATAAGGAAAATTTTTACCCAGAGTAAAGACACAGTCATTAATATGATGTATAATATATATTTTCTACAAAATACAAGTGTGATTCAAAGATCATATTAAAAGAAATTGTGCACATGTATGTATTTATTCTAAATTTATGCATACTTTATATTTATATACTTTTAATTTATTGCAATTTTGATTGATGTATTATTTTTGTTATAAACTGTTTTTATGCTTTTTCTTATGTTTTATTTTGCTCTTATCCTTACCGTGCGTAATAAATAATCAGCTGGCCATGCGCAAATAAAAACTTCTATGAGTGCAGATGCAGCAACGGCAGAAAATTGAGTTTTTATAGTTAATGGTTGTTGCTGTGTAAAATAATATTTTAATATAAATATTGCAATATTAAATTATTATTTGTGACGGAAAGAAAAAAATTGGTCGTTGTCTACATTTCTAAATTACTAAACTTTTAATTTTTTTAAGTAAATTAATGCCTAGATCGTATCTGTTTATATATGTACAATACTAGTTACATAAATATTAGACATATTTGTATAATTAAAAATTCACATGCTACTACTCTATTTAATTAAGATATTGTCACAAACAAATGTATTTAATATTATGTAACAAGTATATGCAATGTAACGACGAAACAGACTCACGCTTAAAAAAGTAAGACCGCTGAATACCACTGCTATGGTACTGAATCCTATCGTTGACAATGCTATATATCGAACTGTCGTAGTAACATCTTTTGCATATCTGTAATTAGCTATTAATTGGTACTCGTTTTTAATAATTTTTGTTGTTATATACATCATATATTATGAAATTATTATAATTATGTGTTAGTTAATAAAAAATAATATAAATACATAAGTTTAAAGATGTTTTTGTCGTATAATATCAGCTGAAATTAGCTAAAAAGACTGATATTTTTAAATGAAAATACTCTTATCAATTAAATTTGTAATATTAATCCAATTTCAGAGTTTACTGTGTTTTTAAACTAACAGATAATAGACTCTTAGTTTGAACTGGACATTGTGAAATTTATACAAAAAATGTTATTAGATATCAAAACTCGCTTTGATCGAATATAGTTTTCTTTATTTATTTGTGTTGAATACACAAGTATATAATTATTTTTAAAGAAGATGTTATGTGGTAATGTATTACATAATTTGCATATTACCGTAATAATCGTTGATGTAGCTGTATACAGATTATGAATTCTGAGGTGCTTGTAATTTTCTGAAATTTCTGGGACAGAATGTCGAATCTTGCTGCTATGAACCAAAGCAGAAGAGCAACGAAAATGTTGCTACATACTTGCACACGACTTTGATATACAACTATTATATGATGCAAATAAATAATAGTTCTTAGTGGTTGTTTGTTCACATCGAATGGATACTCAACTTCGATTGGAAAAGGTTGATTCAACACTAATGGTCCGAACCACATTATTATAGCTGTCATGGTTATCAAACACATTGTCGTACCGTAAAATAATTTGCACTTGTTGATATATCGTTGAAATATATTCCTTTCTTCTGATTTTGCTTGCTGAATATAATTTTCCATTTCGTATATTATGATCTACATAAATATATTATGTAATCTCTCATTAGTGACGGAATCAGCAAAGGAAGTCTTTATTTGTACACTAGCTAAATTTATTTGTCAAAATATTTGAATATATTTTTGATTGTAACTTTTTATGCTTCTGGCAAATTAAACTTTGCACAAATATAAGTATAATAGTTTAATTTTAATTGCTTTGTATATAACACATAGTATAAAATATTAGTATCAAATGTATATATTACTGTTTGTACATTTTTTCACGGATTACTGAAAGATTTTAGGAAGGTTATTTACAAATACATTTTTTTAAAAGTAAGATTATTAAAACAAGTTAACTTTGATAAAGTTTATAGTATATAGTTAAAGTTAAAGAAAAGTTTATAAATAATTGAAATGAAAATGATAATGGAATCAATTGAATGAACGTTTTAATGAGAAGTTATTTGTATTTTATAAAATTTGAAAAACCATAAAATCACTTTTTTAATAAATTCAAAATAGTTGCAATTCTAAATACTTTGAGATACAGATAAAACGAAAAAACCTACCGTACTATTTCACAATTCACATTTTATTATTTAAACCCATTTTTTAGTTGTTTCTTGTACTAGAGACTTTTAATGTCATAAAATATATTTTGGTACGAACAATAATAGTAGATCAGAAGATCTGAAAAAATGGCCAAGAGTTATTTTTATGAGATAATGATTTAATGTCAATTATTGTCAATTCGTGACGATGGCTAATTTTATATTTATTATTATGACATGTATGTTGATTTATTTTACATTTGTGCAAAGTTTAGAAATTTTTTTTTATTTTTCAGAACTCAAATAAAATAAATTTTAAAAAGTCGTGTGGATATACATAATACGCAATAACATATATAAATCACACATATATTCACACAATTAATATTAAATTGTTTTTTAAATGTCAATTATATTAAAATTTTTATCATGAAAAATCGAAATAATTAAAACAAATTTTATTAAAAAAATTTTTTCCAATTTTTTTAGAAACTGTCATGACTACCATACAGTTGCAGAAAAATTTGTCTATGAACTGTATCGCACAAATTTAAATCTTTGCATTACTTATTTAAATTTCATTTTTCTAGATTTATGTTATGTTTTTAATATCTATGATCTATGATATAAATAAATTAAAATTATGACAAATTTAAAAGCCCATTACATTTCTTACTTGCAAACGATCACTTTGAAGAGTGAACAATATAATTTGTACTGGAACTTGCATAAAAGCGCTCAACTCACAGCCCACTTTCATCACAAGAATCACATTATTATACTTTTTATTTAATGTATATATTAATGATATTGACATTATAATTCCATTTAAGCAACATAACAGCCGAAATATTTTGTCACGAATTTTTTGAAATTTTGTAGCCTCCATCGGAAGTGGCCAACAACATGCAAACGTCAGATCTACTTTTAAGAAGCCAATAATCTTTTCTAGCGTCAATGTTTCTGTCATAATAATAATAATCTCATAGAGTATTAGAGATAGAAAATAACGCACTTTATTACGATTCGTACTCGACTAAAGTGTATAAATAATATTCTTCAAGAATTTTTTCGAGGAAAGAAAAATCGCGCGATATTGAACACTTAAATTATTAAAATAACGTTTTTCAAGAATTCGAGGAAAGAAAATCACGCGATACTAAACACTTAAATTACACCTACGTTGCATTCATTTATATTTTAAAGCAAAATGTACTTTTCTTCAAAGCGATGTGTGCGGAACTATAATACGGCAAAAATTATGAGAGAGGAAAAGAAATAATAAAATACAGGAGGAAAGTATACATTGATTTTTTCGTTAAACGTAGGTCAGTATGTTTTGAAGTATTATTGTATTTTTTGAAGTATTATTGATTAACATAGCAATAACCTTGTATAAGGTGTTATATGATAAGTAAAATAGAAAATTTTTAAGTAAATAAACTTAAAGCTAATAATGTAAATCTTATTATTAGTCTTAAAATATTTTGTTATGTCGTATTTAAAAGAATATTTGTGTACAATACAAAAAATATTTTCTGTTATGAACGATCTTTATTATATATCTACAATACATAAAATAAAAATTCTTATAATTTTTAATAATATAATAAAAAATTAACAATAATATTTGTGTAGTTGATATTGTATTAGAGAAGAGAAATTTACGTTCGCAACAGATAAGAATATAATACATATGTGAATAAATGAAAATAGAAAAATATGTAACAATTTGTAAAAAATATCTAATATATTTTTATATTATATTTATGATAATTTTATAATCATATATACTTATTAAATAGTACCTTGCGATATTCTATAAAAATGTATACAATTAATGTAATTTAATGAAAAACATGACACAATTTTATTTTACGTGAAGAATAAAGAATTATATGTTATGTACAAGATAACTTTAGCATGAAATACAGAAAATATATAATGTGAGGTGTTAAATCTTTTTTTAAAAATATATAAAATAAAAATAATTATTTTATTATTAAAGATGATTGTTAATTTTGATAAATATTAAAATGTATTTTCAGATAAATAATTTTAAAATTACAATTAGTTATAAAAAAACGTATAGATATACAATGTTTTAAGACTGGTGGTTTCTGTGGAAAAAAATTTTATTTAAAAAACAAATATAACAGTTTTATTTTTTATGAAAATACATATAATATAAAAGAAGCGTTTAGCGATTATACGCTTTAAATATTTCTAAAGATTTTTGCTTATACAAAGATTCGACCCTATACAAACGAGGTCTCCACTTGCCCTCCCCCTCCTATCTAAGGACACACGACTTTCCATTCGAAATGACTTCCATCCCTCCTCCCCTTTTGCTACGAGGGATATGACTTTCCATGCGCAACGAGGTTCATCACACATTCTCTTCTGTCTAGGGGTAGATCTAGTTTTGCGTGGAAAGTTGTGCGTTTCATAGCATGAAGGGAGGTGGGGTGAAAGTCACTTTGCGTGGAAAGTTGTACGTTCCTAGGAAGAAGTTGAGTGTGTTTACGCACTTTTTTTCTCATCTTTGCGAATGTTTTACTCCGATAATATAAAAGATTAAGAAACTTTACATCAACATTTCAATAAAAAATAAAACTGTCTTATTTGTTTTTTAAATAGAATTTTTTTCCCACAAAAGTTACAAACAACTCTCTTCTTAAAACATGGTATACATATCTCTTTATAACTAGTTTTATTCTTATTTAAAAAAAATCGCGATTTTTGAGGAAGCACCACTTTTGAATATTTACCCATTTTATCAATTTTATATTTCTATAATTTTATATAATATACATCTACATACGTGATACCATAGGTGTTGATGACCGTACGAAATTGTTGTGATGGGATTTCTAAATGTACCGTGATAATCCATATAAAAAGAAGACAATACACAGGAAAACGATGGAAAAGCACTGCGACAAAATGATGCAAAAAGATAATAGTTTTCACTGGTTTGTGTTCCACGTCGAAAGGATATTTTACATTTGATCGGCTGTTATCATTAGCACAGTCATTGTTTTACATGTACCGAGAAAAACTGCTGCTGTAAAGTCTGCATAAAGCATCGTGTATCTATCTACCGTTGGTAAAACTTTTTTTCATATACTTTCTGCTTACTTGAAATTATGATCCATTTCCGAAATTAAATACTGAAGTTTAATTCGATCTTTTAGCTGGTAATACGTAATTTATACCTGTGCTATGAATAAATAAAATCGATAATTGAATTACATATACGTATAGATTTCCAAAGTAGATAATGTAATTTTTGTAAAGATACTATTTTTACAAAGAGAGATACAATCGGATAAACAGAAGTGATAAAAAAAAGTTATTTGTGTATAATACATAAAGTTAATCAGTAATATTAAAAAGCAAATATTTAACTTATTAACATATCTTGAATATTTTTCTAGAATTGAATAAAATAGATTGAGAATGTTTTATCAAAAATCGGTTCGATATTGCTCTAGATATGCGTTTCTTACTTGTAATCAGTCATATTGCAGTGTACATAGTGTTATCTCCAAGGGGATTTGTATATAGAGGCAAGCACTACAGCTTTGTTGTCTTTGGTAGGATGCAGTATTACAATAAAAGATGTATAATACAGATATACTTAATATTTCTGTATTCATACACAACAAAGAGCATAAGATTTTGAAGCGTATTATTTAAATTTACGAATGTTCTTTGACAGTGACTATGATAAAATTGAAAATAAATTAAATGAATTTAGGAAAATTGTCGAAGAATTTCTAAATTGCAAAATGAACAATAGAAAAAGATTAATAATAACTGCGACAATTACACATTCACAAATATTAAAAAATTGTTATTAGAACTATAAAATAAAAAAAAATTTTAATTAATTTTTTCATTAGATTTGAGGAGAAATTTAAAACACATGTATATAGCAAGTAATAAAGAGAGAAAAATATGAAAAATGTGTATATAGGAAATAGTACATGGTTATTATTATTTAAGATGTATGTAAGATGTATATAAATTGATTTAAAATAATGTGATTTGCGCAAATAATAAATGATTTACTATTATCTTGAATTATATTACATAATTTGCTGACTCAGAATTGTTATGTATTACGTGTACACTAAAATTTATAGTTTCTTTATATTCCAAATTTTTTATTAAATATCTTTTCTTATGCAAACATTAATAGTTTGGGACAATTATTTAAATTACATATGATCTCTTTTAATCTGTATTTAGTAGTATGTGCAGGGTTGTAAAATAGGACAGTATGATTGAACAGTACTGGAACATGAAAATATATATTAAAGAGTTAAATTCTTCATTATTTTATAAAAATACATTTTCGATCATTGAAGTGTACATGCAAATGTAACGTAACGATAACTAACAATAAATAATGTAAATAATGTAATATATATATAGCGATTTTTAATTAATTTAAATCTCTATCTTACCGATGTTAAGTAATTAAAAGATATGGATGGTGTAATACATGGTACTCCGATCGTCACCACTTTTTGACTTCTCATCATGATAATTTGCAGAAGTTTCCGTATTTTACTTGATTGATTATACCAATCTATATCAAAAGCAGCCTGAGACATATTGTTGCTCTTGGAAAAATAATAAATTAATTGGAAAAATAGTAATATTAATTATTGATATTAGATATCATGGTGTGTGTTTCCATGTTTTTTTTTATAATAAGTAACTTACTAAGAAAATCAAATGTTCTGCTGGCCAAACAAACATACACATTTCTGCTAAACAAGCTAGAATCATGAAGGTATATTTGAATTTCAATATCAGAGATTGATTCTGTTTAAAAAAATCATACGTGAATATTATTTCCACTGATTTTTTAATACTAAAATTTTTTAATTTATGTTATTAAATAAAAATTAACTAAGAAATGTTTAACATAAATAAGCAAAGAAGATCATATTCGATCAAAACGTATCTTAGCGAATAATATGTTATTTTTATGTGAATCTTACAATTCCACTTTGATCAATTAACTGTTTTCGATCTTAAAACATGGTCCTAAACTGAAGTCATATTATAGTACGTAATATCACAAAATAAATTGATACGAAATTTAAAAATATTGATGTAACCACTTTAAAATTTTAAAGAATTTATTGCAAAAAATATCACACCAACTTGGATTTAACTTGGATCCTATCATTTAAATATCTCTATATTTCGCGATAGGCGTCTAATGGGAACGGCGAAGAACATTATTCAAAGAAAGATTTCTTCGATACAAAGAAATGTTTCTTTCTTGTACGATTAAAGAAAACTGTTTCTTTGATTTGAACGTAATTTCTTTAATTTAAACATCATTTTTTAAATCAAATATTTAATTCTTTATTCTTTATAATATTTTAAAATGCGCATTGGCATTATTCTTATTAAAATAATTTGCCAACTTAATTGATGATATTGTGTTATGATCTAGTTTTTTTAAAAATTGTGTTTTAAAATTAATAAATAATCGGTTTGTTTAAACTGAGAATTGTAAGATTTATGTAAAAATATTATATTTTTAGTCACCAAAATTCGCAAATAGCACTTTGACCGAACACACCATTTTTTTGTTTTTAAATTTAGAGAGAGAAGAAGAGAATTGAAAGAATTTCTCTCCTCTTTAATAGAAATAAATATAAAATATATTTATTTATATTAAAGAGGAGAGAAGAAGAGATTTATTATTGTTGACACATCACTCAATAAATCCCAGGCCTGACATAATAGATGGCGCACTAATAACAAATCCATATGATTTTTAGAAAGTACTAAACCTTCAAACATACCATACGTGTCAAAATTTTAGCTTAATCGGACCTTTACTTTATACTTTATATAAGTAGCACACAAATCTGCTTAACCGTATTTATTTAATTTAAAAGGTCCGATTTATATATATAAAACACGGACTTCTTTAAAACATTCTCCCTTACATAAACTTTTAATTAAGGTTTTAAATATACTATGAAAAGAAATTTTAATTTTTAAATTATTATATGTACTTACGATAAAAAACGAAACGCCAAGTATTATTAAATTGACCGTGCTACAACATATACATGTTAATGCATAATAACGAGCAACAAGAATAACTTCCTCTGTGTATCTAAATCGGTACATTTTAGTTCTTAATATTTATATCATTCATATTTGTTTAATCAGATTACGAGCTTATAAGAGCAAGGATGTTACTTTGTATTTAAGTTATTACTCACTCAAGTATTTTTTGATGTTTTTTAATACATTTGGTCAATTTATTGACATCTGTAAAAGTCTTCAGCTCTTCGATTATTATTTCAAATTTTGCTGATGCAAACCAAAGTACAGCAGCTACAAAAGTATTTAAGCATAATTGTCCCGATACTATGAATGCGACTATAGTTTGATGTGCGTAGATAATTGTTTTTAAAGGCTGATGATATACATCGAACGGATATTCGACTATTAATGGAAATGGTTGATGTAGCAGGGCAGGTACTATTCCGGTGACTGCTATCGTAATAAAATAGAAAATGAGCACAGACACACCATAGAATGCGGCACATTTATCAATGTACCGTTGAATCACAATTTCTTCATGTGGATTCATTGAGTCGCAAAAATATTCCATTTCAAAAGCAATATTCTGTAAATAATTACATATTCATGCGCACGCACGCACGCATGCTATGCACTTGCGCGCATGCGTATACACACACACACACACACACACACACAAAGTGTTAAAAAAAAAATCGGAACTGCTGAATATCTCAGAAAATATCTGGAGACACGGTAGTGTCTCGGCGCTAAGCCAAGCGTGCGACACTGCCGTGCCTCCTTTACGCGAAACTGAGAATTTTTCGGGGTCGAGATGATAGATCTCATTGTCATGTAACGGCTGAACCGATCAAGTTAAGTTTTACAGGAAAGTGTTTCAGACAAAAGTTCTAAGGTTGAAAAAGATCTATGATCTAGATAACATTTATCATGATCAATACCATTGGAGATTATATAACACTTATTTTTATTTTAACGTCAAAATGAATTTTCGATGCAAAAATTAAAATGAGAGTTACAACCTTCAATGGCCTTGATCATGACAAATATTATCCAGATCATGATTCTGAATAACATTCAAGAAGTTTTAATCGTCTATTGGACACCTTGCGGGTCTATGAAGCTCTCTCAAATGCGAATTTTGATAAAATTAACATCGCATTCGATTGTCCACCAAAAATATGTTTGTCTACCCTTAAAAAATATTATAAATAAATAAAAAATTGTAGCACCCTCTCATGTGAATATTCTTCCGAATTATATACAGAATTCGATTGTGTCATCATGCGTACGCGTTTGTCCACCCATAATTTTCTTTTGTCCACCTTTCAAAAAAAAGTTATAAACAAATTAAAGTTAAACATTTCGTCACTGTACACGTAAGTGCGTTTACTTTATTATTAGATACAGGATCCGATTGTCCACCTACCATTTGCGATTTCCTTTATATTGTGCAATTTTATAAAAATTATTTAGAAAACTAAGCAAAGTATAAATGCTCCTTGTATTTAATAATCCTTCGCCTACAAATCGATTGCCTACAGCAGTGTTTGCCTCTACATCCCATTTGCCTACAGATAGATTGCCTACATGTTCTATTGCCTACAGCCCAATTACCTACATTTATTTTGGTAATTATACAGGATTGGTCTCGCACTCGGGCTGTAGACAATAGAACATGTATGCAAACGAACTGTAGGCAAATGGGATGTAGGCAATCGGGATGTAGGTAAAAATACATGTAGGCCAAAATTCATGTAGGCAATTGAGCTGTAGACAATAATACTTATAGTCAATCAATCTATGGGCAATCGATTTGTAGGCAAACGGAGTCCCTTCGACAAAATCTCTTCGACAAAATTTCTTCACAAATGTGGAGAAATGTGGACAAATGTGGACAATATCGAATGCGATGTTAATTTTATCAAAATTTGCATTTGTTAGCTTTACTGATCTGGATAATGCTATACTACCGTCAGTAATACTGTAATTTTCAAGCCACATAAGTCGAAAAGTACTTAATGAAAATAAATTTTATCATAGTGTGTTGGAAAGCTGTTAAGGTAAATTACAAGAATATATAATAAAAAATAGTGTATTCCATTAACAAAAATCTATGTGCTTTGACCTGACTTTGGCAACGCCACCTCAGGTCAAAGTGATAAGACCAGTAAATAGATCTTTTTAAACTCTACAACTTCTGTTTGAAACACTTTCCTGTAAAACTTATATTATCCGAAATATTCAGAGTCCCGACCTTTTCTGGACACTTTGTATATATTTACAATATTTGATTAAATATGTGTACATATACAATAAGTGTGTGTATATGTACTTGGTTATTTTTTTTAAATAAAATTAAAAATTTTTTAAATAAAAATTATTTTATTTATGAATTGCAGTAAGTAATATATTGTAGTAATTATTTTTTTTTATTGAACAGTACTTTATTGGATATATTCGGTTTTTTGCTCATGTTCAAAAAAGTATCACGAGTGTAATAAAATAGACTCATTATTTTATTTAAAATAGTATAACAGCTATTAAAGCATTTAAAAAAGAATGTCTTGAAATTTTTGTTTAAATTTATTAGATCTTTTTAAATAAAACTTTATTTATATGTAATTTGAGATTAATTAAATTTTATTCACTTTTTGTTATGACTGTATCTAAAAAAAATAATTGAGTTGTAAACTCTTAAACCAAATACATATATTGTGTGCGTATAGATATTGCGCAAAATTCTTTAATATAAAATATATCGATATTAAGTACTTGTATGTGATGATAATTGACTTTATGAAAGATAATATTACATATAGCGTGAATAATAGGAGCCTGTTGAACAATTAATTCTATGACAATACTTAAATCGTCAGTATGATTTGTGAAGGTATATATCATAAATGCCTCCAAGAAAATTGCCAGAATGATGCATAAATTGTGATATAGTTTCATACAGGTGATCTTAAATTTTGTTGCGTCGTGTGGCATCGGCCAACTCCACGGTAGCCATAAACTTAACTTCACGCCGGAAATAACTTTTTTAAAACTTAACTTCTTTGACTTTACCGACTTCTGTACCATGATTATACTGCGTATATTACTCACGTATTGTAACGATGAGAACACTGTTTCGAATACTACTAACTCTCTTACAATTTGCTATATGCAATGAAGGGTGTGTGATACATAAATATGAAATGAATGAGAGAGAGAGAGAGGAGGAGGAGTTACTGTAAACGTATTATATGTATACATTTCCGTTTTGTGTAAAAAGGGTACATATTGATAAAATTATAAGGCACGATAAAAGAGAAAAATGCACCTTGCGTGTTCAATACATGGAGATATAATAAGCTGTTTTCGCATTATCAATAATGTGAAGAAGTGTTGCATGTTTAGTAGGGCGTTTCTACTTTATAAGTAGAAACAGCTTATTATATCTGCACCTATTGATTTTAAACGCATGGTGCATTCTCTTTTCTTATTGTGCCTTATAATTTTAGCAAAGTATACCCCTTCTGTGTGAATACAGGAATATACATAATGCATCTATAATAATTCCTCTTCACTTTCTTCGCGTTACATTCGAATGTTTATCGCACACCCTTCGACGATTCGTTGCATATCGAATCGTAAACTTCATAGTAATTTTATCACCCTCTGTGTAAAGAAAATACGTCGAAAGTATCATTATATTGAAATAATAAGTAAGTGGTAAGTTGAAGAGAATAGAAATGTCTATTCATATAATTTCTATGTCACAATTTTTTAAGAGACCGGAAGTTCTTTCCTTAAGATTCTATATTCTTGATATACAAATAAGTACAGTATTAGTAGTATTACAGCAGCGATACAGAAACTTATGGGAATATTTATCGTATGACGGAATATAGAAAACATCGCAGAAAAGATTTTATAATATTTAAAGATTAAAAGTATCAGATGTTGAAGATACAAGATGTAAAAACAAATTTTTATTTCCTATCTTTGATAAATAAAATAGGTATGTTTAGTGAAATGTTTACCTCGCTCTTTTATTTTGAAGTAATTTCTGTATATTATGTGTGTGTTCCAAAATTGACTGCCAGTACTGAAAACCTATAGTGCTCGTGACATAAACTATAGATTTTCAGTACTGGCAGTCAATTTTGGAACACACCCTATGTATACTAGCACAAGTACTATGACGACGTAGGAACATAAGGTTTATATTCTCGAGAGTAAATTTGTCCAACATAATGGTTACTCTTTGAACTAATGAAAAATTTATCCAAAATTGTCAAGTGACTATTTTGAGGTAAAAATTTGATTGTTTCTTCTGGCTGCTTAATTATTCTACTATTATTATGTATAATATAATATATATATATATATATATATATATATATATAATATACTTTATATTTTTCCATCATGCTGAGATTTTTTTGATACGAGATCTGTTCAAAAAGTTCTTAAACTTTGGTTTCATAATTTTGGAGTTTATCTACTTATTCGTCATTTTCTCCTTCAAAATACTCTCCTTTTCGATTGATATACGATATTATCAATCGTGAATCTTTGCTGACAATAAAATAGTAAATATCGAAAATATCATCTCGAAGTGTTGAAATGTCTGGCAGGAGAACTATATGCGATTTTGAAAAACGCGGGCTATTGTTTCTTCTAGAAATAAACGAGGGAGAAGTGTGTGTCAACAGAAAATGTTTCAAAAGAGACAAGGTTGAATAAGTTGTAACTAAAAAAATACAATATATTAAAAAATAAAAACAAAGTAAGAAAATTTGTTGAATAGGACTCTACTGGTATGTATATTATATTTACTATTTACATATTATATATTATACGTATATTAATCTTTGAATACTTTTGAATGCTATAAATATAATATTACTATCAATACGTTTTTACAAGGAAATAGCCTACTTTAATTAATATGTAATATAAGTTTTTAATACATTTCATACTTAAAATGTGATAAAATATTTATAATCTAGTTTTTTATAAACACAAATAATCTAATTAATCTAATTATTACCTTAAGAGAAAAAAGATATTTAAATTTAATCTAGTGACATGCAGTATTTAGTCCGATCCTTATTGTGTATGTATATGTCTTCTCATATAATATTTAAATAAAATATATAATAATAAAATAATTGCACTTACTGTTATAATACTGACTATAGGGGATACAAACTGCAGGAACAAAATTTTTTAAATGAAATCTGATCTAAATAAACATTAAACTTACTTAAACAAAAACATTTTTTTTTGTTATTTATAATAGTTCAAACAAATATTTGTTATTATAAAAATATACTGCTCAATTTATATTCCAAATTCTTTTCCTTCGAACATTATTCGCATTGTAGTGAAGTAAGAAAATATGCTTGAAAGGTACTGAAACATATATTAATTATGAACGCTTCATGTATGTTCATTTCTTTTAGCAAAAGTTACTATATATACATATGTAAATGTGTGTTAATTATAATAGATATATTTGCAAATTGGTAAATATATAGAAAAGGGGAGCCCTCCCCCGATGATCTTGACCTTGACATATGTTGTCAAGGTCATGACCCTGAGTAACCTCCCGCAGATTTTAGGTGGCAGTCGCTGTCCGTTAAAACGTTATTAACAAAAAAAGTTTCAAAATTAACGTATCATTTCTCGAAAATTATACCTACATATTAACTCCCCTTTTTTATATATTTACCGATTATAAAATTGAAATATACAAACGATAATTTTTTAATTATTAATTTTAGTATATGATAATTGTAATACTTAAAATAAGGTGGAGTAAATTACATTTTTACTACATTTTGTTAAATTAGAGACTTTATGTCATAAATGTTTATATAAGTAGGTAATTACGGATGACTGACTAATGTGCACTATAGACGAATTTTAATAATAATTTTTTAAAATCACTATCTCACCGATGCATAATAACGTAAAGACAATGAGGGTAAACCGCATGGTAATACAACCAATATTGGCTTTTGGCTCCTCATTATAACCATTTGTAAATTTTTCCTAAAATATTCAGATTCAGCATACCAATCTATTTCAAAAACCGCTTGTGCTACATTCGTACTCTATTACAAAAAGACATCCATATAATTAATAAGATATGAATTATGTGTAAATATTACGTTATTCATACTTAAAAATAATTTACTTACTATATGAATCAAATGTTCCGCTGGCCAAGCATACATAAAGACTTCTAATAATGCACAAATTGATAATAAGATACATTGAATCTTTAAAGCTGCTGATACTTTCTATTTGAACCATGAAACGTGATTATTATGGAAAATTTTAATAACATATTGTCTAATTTAAAAATTTACTACTTTTATGTTAAAACATGTATGTATATAGACCCCTATAATATGTATTTAAAAAATATATGTATTACACAAATAGTTTTATTGTATATCCTGTTATAAATTTATTATATGATAGGATCGTTATATTTCGTGAGTTTCATTTTTAAGACATTATCATAAAAACTATTTAAGTATAAATGAAAAACGATGTGTGTGAGATATCATATATTTCTAAATTTTTTGATATATTGAAATAAAAATTTGAGTAATAAATACTATATTAATATTATATTAATGCTACATTTACGTTAATTTTAATAACAAGATTGTAACAAATATTAGTGTTCTTAAACATATTTTTATTACTTTCTGTGGTTTAATCGAGATTTTGAAAACCCAGGCAAATTTTCAATTTTAAATTATTTTAAAAAAACTCAAGGTCAATTTGTACACATAAAACAAGTGAAAAACGTTTTGTGTCATGTCATTGTAAAAAGTGCTTTTTTTAAATGTTGAAAAAATGTACCAAATTTTTTTTAGATTTTTAAACCCTAAAATCCTTTTAAAGAACACAATCAGGCACTAGTGGCTTGGATTAGGAAAGCAATGAAAGTAAAAATGTTGGACTACTGAGAGTTAATTGCATAAGTGTGTAGTATGCTTTAATTACATTGAATTATACTTACTGCAATAAAAACAAGTCCAAATATTATTAATGCTATAGTACTGAAAAATACAGTTACAAGTGCAAAAGGTCGAACTGTAAGGGCTACCTCTCCTGCATATCTAAAACCATTTGAAATATTTTGTCTCACAATACAAGGTAATTTCTATTTAAATAGTTAAATAATTTTAATTTTAACAGTTAAATACATGTAACAAAATTTTAATATTTTATTTAAAATTTTAATTTTACACACTTTAACAGGATGTCATACTCGATTAATTTTTGATGCTTTTTGATGCATTTCGCGAAATCATAGATATTTGTAATTGTTCGTAACTCTTCGATCAACAATTTAAATCTCGCTGAAGCCAACCAAAGCAAAAGCGCCATGAAAGCGTTAACACATAAATGCGCAGATATGAACAGACCAATTAAAATCTGATGCATATACGTGATAGCCCTTAGTGGTTGATGAGACGCATCAAATGGAAATTCAGCAGTCGTTGGAAGCGGCTGGTCTAGCATGATAGGCCCCACGAAAAGGCCGAAGAGACTCATGTAGAATAAACTTATGCAAAAACCATAAAAATTGGAATACTTGTCAACATACTCCCGCTGAACAATCGCTTCCTCATGAGGTTTGATCAGTGTGCAAAAATTCTCCATTTCGAAAGTAACGTACTACAATTTATTAAAATATTATATCATTCCGTTTCATAATACGTGAGAAAAAAATTTTATTTCTTAAAAGCAGTATCTATATTAATTACTTGTAATCGTTGATAAATAACTAGGTGACACAGAATATTGCCAATAACGTGACCACAGGGAAATAAAGAAAACGATGATCTCATAAAAACATCAAGATCATTGGTATTCTTCACAAGGGCGTATATTATCGACGATAGTACGCCTGTAGTTAATAATATACAGATATATTGATACAACTTTATGCACAGAATTTTGCTTTTAGGCGCGCCTAATGGTAACGGCCAAAACCATATAACAAATAGACTAAACTTCACGATGGCAATCGCCTTCTTTAGCGTTACTCTCTCTTGCATGATTACGTTCTGAATTACGTATAATTGCAATTCTGTAAAAAGTTTTACTTAAGAAACTGCTTTGAAAATTTTTCTTTACACCAAATACACACAATTTGAATAATATTTTTATAAGTGATACTTGTACGCTAAGTGAAAACGCGAACAAACTGATGCCAATACATGTTACATCAGTTATCTTTAGGGTAAAAAAAAGTATGCGTACATACGAAAATAAGTTGAGGTAAGATTTTGCAGCTCTACTAAAATATAAAATGTCGATTGAAGAAAAATTACAAAATAGATACAATATAAGGTTTTTCTTTGCGTATTCTTTGAAAACTAACGTTAAGTGGCAGAAAATAATTTAATGGATATGTAGAACCTGAAATGTGAATTGTAGTGTTACGTAGCAGCTGTTTCCCGCACTGTTAAAACATTTATGAATCTTCTAACGTTCCTTAATTGAGACATGAGTGAAATGGGTGAAAAATGAAAAAGAAATTCTCTTATATTCGCGCACAGTCTAGTATACTCTATAAACTTATACAATGCAAATTGTTTCTCAAACAGATAATTTATTTTATTCTTATAGCTATTAATTTCAGTTTTTTAAATTAAATTAATAGTTTTCAGATTTATTATTTTTTCTTAATTTGATATTTCTATTATATTGTATATAATTATATAAATTATAAAAATAAGCAAAAATGGTACAAATCTCGTCTATAAAATATATTTTCCAAGCTCTATCATTTTCTGCTTATATGTTTAAACGCTCACTTTCTAATTTTTTTTCCTGTGGAGCAAATACCGAAAAATGCAATTATTTTTTTTGATGCTTAATTTATTGTTGAATATATGTACATATTTAATTTATTTGTAATATAACTATTTGTATTTGATGATTATAAAAAGTAAACTAGTGAAAGTAAAAATAAATGCACTATTTTACATTATTTTTATAAATATTTTTTGTTGGTTGAATGTAATCTATGATACTTTTATTTTATTAATTTTATTATTTAATGAAATGTTTATATTTAACAATAAAAATAAAATTTTTCAGTTTAACAACATTAAATTAAATATACATTGTTACATATAAAAATACGTATCATAATTAAAAATAATCATATATTAATTATAGCTACAAGTATAGCATTAATTTATATCCAATAATCGTATGTTGAGTAAGCGCACAAAATTATTCTACAATTCTTGATTTTAACGATTCAAATCAACAATTATTGCTCTCATTGTCATAAAATAAGATAACAGTGACACAAAATACTGTAAAAATATAAAATCTAATTTTTGTTACGTTATTTTTCTCTGTATAAATAATTATAAAATACAAAACGTTTTGGTTAGATATATAATATAATGAAAAAAATTTATAATATAAAAAGTATGAATATCTATTATTACTGATTACAAAGTGTGAGTGTTAAGTGTAAAGAGCAGAAGTTATTTACTTTTCTGGCATTGGGTGCATCTAGTAACGCAACAACTCACAAAACACCTTCTGCTTTCTGACAACATATGACAAATAGCTTCCGCGCATGTGCTGTGTGCCTAAAATCGTTGGATTTTATACTTTTACTTATAAATACAAATTTCGGAACCACTCTTTACATTGATATTCACGTTTAAACTTTATATGTTATGAATTATTTTTTCATTATACGTTTAATCAGAACTTCTTGTATGTTACAAATATTTTACACTATACAATTTATTATAAAAATTTTACTATTTATATATAATATCTTATAGCAAAATATACCTTAGTATAATATTTAAGAGATAAAGTTGGTAGCAAGTTTCCCATGCTGATTACAAGTGGCTTTTGACTTCTTTGCATCATGAAACATATATTTTTAACGGTATCTTGTGATTTTTTAATCCATGATATATTATATACTTCCATTGCAACCCATTCACTCTAGAATCATAATCAAAATTATGAAATTTCGTATTATCTAAATAAGAAACAAATAAATAATTTTTTAAAAATGTAATAGCACAAGATCTTTAATATTTTTAAAATATGTTATGCATATGATTTATCATATAATAGATTTAATATGTAGCAAAAATGAAAAATAAATTTGTTTAGATTATTAATTACATTTTCCGTTAAATCATCAGCTGGCCAAGCGGTAATGCATAATCTTAGACATCCAGATATTACTAGAAATATTAATTGAGCCGATATCCCTAATGACTGTCTCTATATTAAAATTATTAAATGATGGAATTATTAATTTAGATAAATTTAAATTAAATAAATATCACTAATAAAAATAATAAAGTGCCAATAGAACATACGTGAATAATTGGAAAAGTACCACAAATAGCATATATTGCTATTAGAATGTTTTTCTTAAAAAGACTAAATTGAACAATATCTTTCGTTTCATCAACAAATCTAGTTGTTACAAAATAAAAATTCTGTTATTCAAATTTATTATCGATATATTATTATACTATATACATAAGATATTATGTTTGGGTTTAAATAACAAATGTCTAAAATATAAATAAATGTTCAAAAATTTTAAATTTCTTCTATAGTAGGCTTCTGACGTTCTGACCACTTACTTGATTATTTTCTGATGTTTCTTAATACATGAATTTATTTCTTTTTCATTTTTTGTAACTTGTATTTCTAAACATAACATCTCTAATCTGGCAGATGAATACAAGAAGAATGCGGCAAACAAGAAATCCATACTACCGCAACTAAGTCCACATTGTACAATAGCGCAGACTTGCATGGTATAGATGATAAATATTACAAATGGCGATTCAGTGGGAAAAGGATACAATCCTTCAGAAGGAAATTTTCTCGAAGTAAATGCCGGGGTGCAACAAAAGGTGGTTATTGTGATGATATAGCATATTATAACAGATATGAACATGAAGGCGTAACGATTTATGTACTTTTGCAGAACAATCCTTTCATAGTCGTTGGAAGCAAGAAGAAAATTCTTTATCTCTTTCAGAATGTGCTAAATTTAATTAATATTTTTAGTAATAAACTGATAAATATATTCAACGTTAAAGAAAAGAATCGTACATTTACATCAAATAATCACACATTACATCTCGTCTGAAGAACTTCGCATAAACATCACACATCTATATAAATATGGTATACCATATACAGATATCGTGATGTCCGTACGACGTTTGACGGGATTGTGTTGTATGAGAATATTCTATTTAAAATACATATAATTAAGTATCTCTGGAAAAGTGAACTGTGTATGCAACTATTGGTCATGCTATCGAGTAATAATCAAGATATCTCTCTAATTTTCATACACTATAAGAGAAAAGTGTTTTATATTTGATTATATCATTGTATATTAAAATATTGTATTACAGTTAAGAGTTCTATTTTTATAGTTATTTTTTTAACTTTAGTAATAGGTATGTATTACTTGTATATAATTATACAGTTTATATTTAATTATTTAGTGTATTAAATATAAATAATTATATAGTTATTAAACGGGAGCGTGTAGGGGATCGATAAATAAGAAAACTATGAAAAAAGTAGAGATATGCTCGTTTTTGTTTCGTTTTGGAGAAAATTGCAAAAAAGACAAAACGTTATAGTTGCTTTGTTTTTGGACATGGGGGAGTAGTATTGGCCACCTCGATCACTTGATCTCATACTACTGGATTTCTTTGTGTAGAGGGTCCAAAAGCAGGAAGTTTATTCGTTGTCAATCAACTCAAGAGAACGATCGAGAAATCGAATCGAGGCTGTAATGCACTTAATATCACTAGATCAGTGTTTAGCTACAATACGAGTTGTCCATATTAGATGCAATGCTTGCATTGTTGCAAGAGGTCAACATTTTGCACAATATTTACATTAAGCAAGTGAATAAATACAACGTGAATAAATAAGAAAGTACAAAAATGAAAACTACGTTTTTGTCTTTTTTTACAATTTCTCCAAAACGAAGCAAAAATAGCATATCTCTACAGGATTTTTTTTTCTTAGTTTATCGAACTTCTACACGCTTCCAAATTTTTGACATTTTTTATTTAAATTCCGGACATCTTGTATAATTATATAGTTTTATACATCAAAAAGTATATATGATTGTTCTGAAAAACAACTTGAAACTTTATAATCGTTTTTATATATTCTTTTTATTATATTATCATATTCTCTTAATTATAATAATTTATTATACAATTATATACAGCCATAAATATTAAAGAAACTTTTCTCTCAGTGTAGTAATACAATATGATACTATACTAAATAATTTATCATGAGTTATATTATTATTATTATTATTATTATTATTATTTTGATGTTGTGAGATAGTTATGAGATAATTATTAGTTAAATAGAATTAATGCGTAAAACTTGTATACATACTTGTATATTGGCGTTTTTTGTTCTGCATATGAAGATGTTACTTAACAAATCCATCATACAGGTAAATTCCACTAAAGTCTTCATTATTATCATTACATTGTGCCAATGTTCATAAATGGCCCGCAATAATGTCATCTGTATGATAATTATGTTCAAAATGTTAAAATTGCAATTGATCTTCCAAGAAATAAATGCGAATTTGCCGACATCAGCATTAAGCCACGTACACGGCATACTATTGCACATTTGTAAAAATTGAAATACTTGATCAAATTTCGTATATAACAGTTTCATTATTTGAGCAATTTGTATCGTTTGCAAGTATTTAGAAACACTACTCTTTTCGACAAACAGAATACTCCTAACAAAGTTAGAAATGAAAGTAGTTGAAATGTAAATGAATAGCTCGTATGCTTAAAACTGCGATTATCATGAGAATTTATAATGTCAAACAGTTGACTAATAAATTATTCCATCTGGAAATAAACATACCGAGTTATTTATTCAAGTGAGTGATTAGTCTCATTAATTACAAATGCTACGGAAACAATATTATACTAGGGTATCATTTGAATATTTTAGTTTGAAATTATAGGGGAAAACTTAATCAATTCTGGGTAAAAAGCATTTCAATATACACGTGCACAAATAATACTTAAAAAAAATTATTATTTTTAGATACATAATTGTTAATAATAAATGTTAAAATAGTAAATAATAAATATTTTAGACACATAAAATGCTTATATTTTTGTACACATTTTTGTCTCCATTATTAAAATATTTAGAAATATATAAATAAATCAAATTTAATACATATAATGGCATATCTATATTTTTTATTTAACAATATTTATATGATGGATGTTATTTTGGTAAATATAAAAATCTCATAATTGATTTGTAAATATAATTCTATAAAATAAATCATTATAAATTGTACAAAATTTCTATTTAATTTTATTTTTTAACGCGGATTAGAACGGAACTTTGTAGCATTTATTATCTACATAAGTTATGATAACCGATGATAATATTTTTGTAACAAAGTTATCAACATCCGCTAATATGATCGATCGAGTATAAAGAGTTCATAATCTTTTAATGCTATAAATAATATAATAATAATATCATAATGAATGTCTATTATCATAAATTTAATAATTAATATCTATTTGTATACAAATTGGTTTACGTTACTTTACTAACAATAGATAATATTACATTTGTCGATAAAGTATTCTTTCAAGTGGGATGGACTTATACCGTCAGACGATTAGAGACTAATAAATCAATAAATGTATGGGAGTACCAAAATTCGTATCTTTTATTACTTTATTTCAGATTAATTTAATATTTAATTGTTTTATTACTGTGTAATTTATATAATATTAATTCTTATAACTTCTGATTCTCTGACTAATTCACAATTCACAACCTATGTCGACAAAAGTTTCGAAAACATCTTCCCAAGTTTGCAACTCGGTAGCATTTAACCACTCAGCGGTTCGTACTAATGCAAGCACAAATCTTAACGCGACGTACTATCTTCTCGGCAACAAAGTACTCCCAGCTTTCGCAACTTTGGCTTATACGAGTTCTGTTAATTAGCGCATTGCGCCGCTACCGAGTGTTATTCCGTTGTGATTTTATTCGGGCACTGTTGTCGCGTGCGAAGTTATGACACGAAATAATGGATTTTGAGATCGCAAAGAGTGCTCTCGAAATCTTAGAACAAGCTCTCTCGCAAAACGTAAAATCTGGCTGCTTAAAGAAGCGAATTTGTAATGCGCTTTGGCAAGTGGCACATTGCAAATTCACGCTTAGTACATTTCTGATCATAACCCACAGAAGTTTGAGAATGTGTTAAACTTTACATCAGTCCATCGAAAGAAGAGCTTTATGTATAGCTTTATATTGTCTTGTGCCCTACGTTGTGGCATAAATTTATGAGACATTTCGTTACGCACTCAGGGCGTGCTAAATATTTTTCAGATCAGCGATCTTGTTTTATTATTGTTTACAGTTTATTTTAATATACATATACGTCATTAAATAAAATTGCAATATTTTTAAAGTTTTATTAATTATATATTACTAGTTATACAGAGTAAATATCATTGATTTTTTTGTTATTATGTTATTATAACAAGGTTTTCAATCGGTTTACCGCAAAAGGTCTTCAAATACTGCAAAAATTTTAAAAAACAGAAAAAAGTGTAAAATTTAGAAAAAATCGAATAAGGCGCAAAATAATGTTTCAAAAATTATGACAATTATCTAAATTATTGTATTACGGACTTAAATTTTGTATACTACATAAGTATTATGTAGATATTATTTTTTAAAATTTTATAAATAATCAGAAAAATGAAAATATTAAAAATCTATTATTTAAAATATTAAAGAAAGCTACAAAATTGGAATTACTGAAATTTTAATTGCTTTTTGATAAAAAAAAATAGAATTTCAACTAAAAAATTTCTAATATTTTCAATATTAGAAATTTGATAAACGGTTATTTGATAAGCGGACTATGTTATACATGAATGCAGTTGTAATTAAAACTTTTATTTGGCCTCTGATTCAAAATCAATTTCAGTGAATATTTGAAACGCACCCATTTCGGTGTTCTCTGATACATTGAGAAACTTTATCACCGATTGTATTTTGGTTGATACGACACGGCGGTTTGTTCGTTTCGATTGCTTTTGTGTGCGCAACCGGTGTAGTAACATAAATCTTCTACAGTTATATAGTATACAATATGTACATAATAGAATAAAATGTATAAAATAATTATAAAAATAATTTTAATTTTTTTGTATATAAGGAAACTTAACTCTTCTTATATAATGCAAAGAATATTTAATATGTATAATTGTAAAGCTTAAATTATGATAAAATGAATGTTGTGCATATAAAAATTAAATTATTATATTTAATAGCATATAAAATTAATATGATGGTTTTTAAATTATACTTATTATAAATTAGGAACATATTTAACATCGAAGAATTTACATCATTTAATGGATAAAAAGAGGAAAAAATTATATAAATTTATGATTCATAATTATTTTGTGTTAAGAGGACTTTTAAGCTTGTTCTTATAATCATTTGAATCATCAGGAATAGGATTATGTGTGTGTTGTATTTTTAAGATTAATTAGTTATATAAAAAAATGTTAGATAAAAAAAATGAACTAAAATTATTGTTATTTTTATAATTTTAATAATCTTTTTTTTAATCTTAAATAATTTATATTATTCAATTTAATATTTTTGTTTGCAAAAAATTTATTTAAATAAAATTTTAATATTTCTGAAAGATTTACACAATTATTATACTTTTTGGTTTCTTATAATTATAATGACTTATTCCTTGATATAAAATATATATTTAAATATATCGATAATAAATATATTAAACATTGTAAAAGTACATAACTAACAAATTGGCAACATATCGCGCATGTACTAAAAACAAACAAATACAATGCGATGAATATGAGTTACATTTACAAGAAGCATAGTCATATTTCATATTTAATCAAATCAAAATTTAACGCACGACGGCCTATACTAGCAGGATCTCGTTAACAGCAGGTTACAAAACTGGATTGACGAATTAATTATCGAATACATATTAGTTCGCGTCAACGCACTGCTGTTGATTCACGTGGGTTTATTGAGTGCACATTTACGAATTAAGGGCAGCGTATGGCAATTTTCTGATAGATTTGGTTGCATATATTTTTTAATCTTCATTTGATTGAATATTTCTATCTATTTAATAACGCAATTTAGACTATAATTTTAAGTTTTCAACAGAATTAGTGATTAATACTGATGAACGTCGATACTTCAATTATAGTTGTGGTTGGTCATTATTGAGCAAACTCTTCCTTAGAACAGTACCTGCTGTACAAACAAAAATATTTATTGTAGCAATAGATTAACATTATAAATGTATTTTTATTAAAATATTATATGTGTACTTTGTTGGTCAAAATAAAGAGATTTAAGGAATATGAATACAGCCGTTAATTCTAGAAAATTAATATCAAATGCACGCGTCATATATTTTATATTTTAGAATTGAAATTTCTAGAAAGATTGCAAAACCAAAATTACCACAAAATAATGCATTTTTAAAAGACATTAAAACAAATTATAGGTTTATAATAATAACTTTCAATAATTGTATAATAATAATAATTTAAATATACATATATGTGTTTAAATATATATATATATATATATTATATGATAAAAATATATTCACAAGCTATGATTTAAATAAGGTAACTAACGCTACGCGTAGTGTTACTAATGTTTATGTAAATAAGAAGCTTCTTAGTGTGTTCGAGTTTCTTGGTACATAAGCATCGTTTCATGGTAGCAGAGTGCTAAGTGCATAGCAAAACTCTTTATACGCGGTCACAACGCGTATACGCATATTAATTGGTCACAAGGCACGTTACTATGTATAATATACGTATTAATGGAATAAATAAAAAAATATTTTTTTAATTACATTTATAATGTGTCTATAAATTAAAAAATTTAATTATAATGTATAAATAAATATCAGCAACATTTTATAAAATAAATAATTTACATCGATTAATATCTAAATAAAAAAAAATATTTTACATTTTATTGAGCTATTGAAAAAATCTGAAAATAATTAATTTTTACTACTTAAATAATATTTTAATATCAAATCTATAAATAATATTATGATTAAATTAATATTTTATTATTTCTAGATTTAAAAAATTATGTTTTTGAAATTATGAATATATATATATATATATATATAATATACATTATATATATTTCAATATGTAGCGTGTTTTTAAATAAAATTGAGATAATAGACGTGTAATTTACTTTAAACAATGTTTGATTATGTATAATGCAGTAATAGAAATTATTTTATGTAAAAGTAATTTTATGATATATGTATTTTTATGTTATGATATATAAAAAAGTGATATTTACTAATACAACAATGTAGGAATTAGAATAATTAGGACGGAGAACATACAGCAAACCATAGTAGTTGATAATATTAC